AAAAAAAAAAAAAAAGAATGAGACATCTGAAGAAGCAGATAAACATGAGCCATAAACCAGAAAAATATCCATTCATAGAAATAGATGCAAGAGACAGAGATAATAGAAACATCACACAAAAATGTCAAAAACAGTTACTATAAATAAGATCCAATGTACAGGAAAACATGAACTTGATATTTTTTTTAACCAAAATGGACAGAACAGATGAAAACAATATCTCAGTATTTCCATACATTCTGTATGGAACTAACAGCCGATTAGACATTGTAGCAGAAAAAGTCCAGTGAACTTGAACAACATAGCAACAGAAACTATCTAGAACAAAGCTCAGAGGGAATAAAAAAAAGAACCTGACAAAACAAAACAAAAACAGCAATAATTACCTTTGGGATGATACTAAGAAGTCCAGCATATGTGTAACTGGAGTCTAAGAAGGAGCAAAAAGAAGGTGAACAGAAACAACCTTTCAATAAATAATGTCCAGCTTTAAAATATTTTGATTAAAAAATATAAAAACCCCATAGATACCAGAATCTGAACAAACCCCAAACAGAAGAAACATAAATGGACACACACACACAGAGGCACATCATAATATGTTGCTGAAACACAGTGATAAAGAAAAAAATTTTTAAAGGAGCCAGAGGAAAAAAGATATCTAGATATTTTGCATACAAAGGAGCAAAGAACTATAGTTGACTTTTCATTAGAAACTACACAAGTTAGAAGACAAAATTGTGAACTAGAACATTATACACAGTAAAAAATATCCTTCAAAAGTGTAGATGAAATAAAGACTTTTTTAGACAAACAAAAGCTGAGAATTCACTGTTGGCATACCTGCACTTCAAAAAATATTAAAGGAAATTTACTGAGCAGAAAGAAAATACTAACAGGTAGATATTTGGATCTACACCATGATGTGGAAAACATGGGAAATGATAAACATGAGGGTAAAATTTCACTGCTTAAAGGAAACACATATACATGTAAAATATATGACAAAAATAGCATACAGAATGGGAGAGGGGAAATGGAAATGTACTGCTGTTAGGTTCTTAAACTGTATGTGGAATAGTATAATATTATTTGAATTAAAACTGTGGTATGTTAAAGATGGTACTATGGCCATATAGCAAGCCCTAAAGAAAATACAAAAACAAAGAGGTATAACTAATAAGCCATGGTGGAATAAAATGGAATCACAAAACAAACAAACAAACAAAACAGATGGAACAAACAAAACCAATGGCAAGATAGTAGAATTAAATCCAACCACAGTGGTAATTACTTTAAAACATAATGATTTAAACCAGGGGTCGTCAACTTTTATGTGTAAAGGGCCAGGTACTAACTGTTTTAGGTTTTGGGGGCCATATGGTCTCTGCCATAACTATTCAACTATTCAGTTGCAGCATGAAAGCACTACAAACATGTAAACAAATCTGATGACTGTATTCCAACAAAACTTTATAAAAACAGGTGGCAGGCCGATTTAGTCCAGGAACTAGTTTGCCAATTCCTGGTCTTAACACTCCAATTAAAAGGCAGAGATTGTCAGATTGGATAAAAGTATAAGACCAAACTATAAACGGTCTAAAAGATAGCCACTTTAAATATAAACATATAGACAGTTTGAAATATAGGACAAGAAGGGCTCCTGGGTGGCTCAGTTGGTTAAGCATCTGCCTTCGGCTCAGGTCATGATCCCAGGATCCCTGGGTCCTGCATTTGGCTCTCTGCTCAGCGGAGAGCCTGCCTCTCCCTCTCCCTCTGCCTGCTGCTCTGCCTGCTTGTGCTCTCTCTCTCTCCCCCTCTCTGCCAAATAAATAAAATCTTTAAAAAATAATATATAAAATGTAGAAAAATATATAACATGCAAACTAATCATAAAAAGGCAGGAGTGGCTATATTAATATGAGACAAAGTAGACTTCAGAATAAGGAATATTACCAGGAACAAAAAATTTTATAATGTAGGGGCGCCTGGGTGGCTCAGTTGGTTAAGCAACTGCCTTCGGCTCAGGTCATGATCCTGGAGTCCCGGGATCGAGTCCCGCATCGGGCTCCCTGCT